GTATCCCACCATTTCATTACATTTAATTCTCTATACATTTTCAATGCATTGCAAGCAACTTTCATCTTTGAAACAAAGTACCTCTGGTATCATGGGAGCTGCCTCTGCTGTTTTTGTGCCAGTCAGGGCCAGTCTCACCACATAATGCATAAGGAAAATTGCTATGCCCTCTCTGCTTTGCTTACTAAAATTTGTTCTTGGTCATTTATCCAGAACATTCAGAGGCTTGGTAACTGCACACACACTGCACTGCTCCTCCATCACTCCCTGCTGAGGGATGCCAGGGAGGAAAAGTAAAAAAAAGGCATCTGCTTTCTGCCCCTAGGGAGATACTCTGGCACCTCCTGCTCAATGTGTGATATACTCTCTCATTAAATGGACATATACTACTTTCCTTCTCATGGTGTTTAGGAATCCTGCTTGTTTTGATGTAAATGAGAGCTACACTAAGAGGGGGTTTTGTTACTCTCACCTCCCACTCCTGCAGAAAATGAACACCCTGCAATGAATGGGAAAGGATGGCTTTATGATAACAGAGCAGAATGATAAGCTAGTCAGCTGCATTTCATGTTGTTAACAAAAGTAACTCTGTGATATGGGACAAACTCCCTAAATCAAACTTTTCTTTATGGCATATTCTTTAATGGAGACCAATTCCTCACATTTGTTGCCTGCTTAGGTTTTCAAGCAAAATCAGTGGAATCTAGGAATATTATGCACATCTGATATAAAGACACATTATATCACGCTGGAATAAATACATGGATGAAATTCAGAGTCGTGTTTGACCACTGTTACACTGCTTGCTTTCAGAAGCTCACACTTTTACCTGCCTCAGTGTCTTCAGTGGCACACCACAAATGCTTTCATCCAGTTCAGCAACTCCTGACAGGAAGTTGTGGTTTCCTAATCTTTCAATAAAAACAGGCTTCCCAGAGATAGCACGTCAAAACCAAGAAGCCAAGCTGCAAAAGTAGGTCAGCTGGGTTATCCCAAGAAGAAGGGGAGAGCATCCTGGGCACCAAGTACAGCAACCACTGTACTGTGCCAGACAGACAAATCCCCCAGAAGTCTGAACAAAAGAGTGAGACAAAGTTACAAAGCAGATTGCCACATAAGCCAAAAGATTATAAAATATAAAAGTATAGAGAAAGGACTGTTATTTTCATTGATCTTCAGGAAAAACAACACGCAGTATTAGCATCTCTTTTGCCTGAAAGCAAGAGAGCAAGGTATCTGCAAGGCAGAATCTTACAGGATGAGATTTGGAGACTGAATGTTGCAAATTATTACAGAACTACAGACCCACCTGAAGGACAGTGCAAGTGCTAAGAGGAAAGGAAGCTATGAGGCTACACTGGAGAAACTTTCTGGCAGTAGGACCTTAGCAGCGCCTCAAGGGAAATGATCATTCCCGTATACCATCAGGTTATTTGTACAGTGTAAGCCGATGTGCTGCACTGAACAGTCTTGGCTGCGAGAGGGATGCTGGAAGATCCCTTCCTAGAGGATGCCCCAGTCGCACCGCCTCCTTCCTCCTCCTCCCTCCTCCTCCTCGGCTCGGCGGTGCCACCCGCCGGCTGCCGGCATTAACACAACGCCGCACCTGCATGCGGGACAGGAGCTCCTGGCTGCACTGCTGGGCTTCCGCCTTCCCCACATAATCCAAGCCTTTTAACCACCTAACCCGAACCCTTCCCCAGATAATCCAAGCCTTTTAACCACTGTCTCTTGTACAAAGCTTGCCAGGGATACCCAAGTTCTGCACAGCCTTCAGAAGCTGCGCTAGTTCTTCCACCAGAGAAGAGGAATTTACTGAGTCAACAAAATCCCCCTGACAGCATTGGTGCCTGAAGGAATCTATTAAAAAGCTATTAAAATCTATTAAAAAGCTCAGCATTCAAAGTGGGAGTCAGGATGGCACTGCATTTGCAAATTCAAAAAGGCAAACACATTCACGAGCCTCTAATGAAGGGAGTGTGGTGTGCAAGGAACAAGTTATAATGAGATGTTATGTTCCTTCCCCCATCTTTTAGAAGAAGAATTTATTGTCCTGTAAAATATGAAAGGGAGATTATTCAGAGGACAGAGGTCTTCATTCTGTTAGACTGACAGACACAACTTCTCTGGACTCAAATCATCTAATGACAGAACCTCCATTAATCCACAAAGCTTGCTTGTATCACGGGAATATGCAAGGCTGTTGCTACATTTAATAAATTTTCCTTCTGAGGAAAGTTAAACATTTTGATAAAGTGCAGAAAGCATTTAAGGAGAAAAGAAGTAATTATTGTGTCAGATTTTAATAAAGTTATAATTATAGAGCTGTTTAAGTTGAAAGGGACCTTAAAGATCATCTAGCTCCAACCCCCCTACCATGTTCTAGACATTAGTCAAAGCTGGCTAGTTGGGCAGAAACAGACACGAAAACTCCCAAACCCTTCAGAAAACATAAACAGAAAATTGGTTAACAGAGAGAGTGTGCATGCTTTTTAGTCAGAGCACTTCCAAAACATCAATAATGGGACAAGTCAGAGGGGAAAAAAAGAAGGGAAGGGGGGATAGGGAAATGAGACATATATATCCCTGATATTAAATAATTGAGGTATATGTATCCCTGACATTAAATAATTAAGACACACATATATACATGGATAATCCCTCTCAGACACTTTCATATGGAAGCATATCAACAATGAAAAGATAAAGCCTTTACAGATTAGTCAGTGCCTTCCCACCACTGCAGCTGACACATCTTCCAGCAGAGAACTGCTGAATGTACACCTGACAGAACTCAGCTGAGCAAGACAGATGGGTTTGACCTCTGCCACGCTATGTGCAGCTAAAAGGCAAACTACTTATACAAGTCCAGTTCTTTCAGATTGCTGTGGGTGTGCAGACAGCTCTCAGAAACTACTCAGGATGTTGGCAAAGGTGGCAGCTTTCTGGAGAGCAGCAGTGACAAAAGCTAAGCAGGTAACCCTGTGAGCTACAGCTGCAGTGGGTGAAGGCAGTGTAAGCCATGTAGTCCAGTGCCATGGCAACTAACAACTCTACTGAAAAGACTTCATTTTGAAAGTTGCACATGGAGCCACGGCACTTGTTTCACAATCAACTCTGTTCTGCCTCTATTTACACTTTCACTTCTGCAATTTGGTGCTCCAGCTGGGTAAAAGCCTTTAGGAACAACTGGAAAGAAGGCATTTACGCAAGGAGGAAGTTTTTATCTCTCTGGATTTTGCCAGTTGAGTCTGTGCTCAGCTCAACAACAGCATTAAATTATTTCTCAACAGAAATTCTGTATTTCTGCAGAACCCAGAAACTCTGCACACCTACATGATGGTAAGTAGCATTTCAAGTCACCCTGTAATGATGCCAATCCACGTGAAACCAGGGAACGCTTACGAAACAGACATAAGTACAACCTGAGTTTGTACTGACTGTTGGATCACAAGTAAAAGACAACTCAAAGACATCAAAGACACCTTTACATTCTCCTTAGCTAGCACTGCTACATTCTTCAGAGACAGAGAGTGATCCCATTGCCCCCTATCTCATCACACCAAATGCCAAATATTGCAGAATTTTTAAATTTAATTCCTGAAAAAATTGAGAAAAAAATTCAGCTACCTCACAAACACCTAAATTACTCTAGATACAAAGAAACAAGTGCTTCTAGAACAAGCACTTTACTAGGAATGCAGCAGAAGCTTATATTTTGGTGTGTTTGGGGTTTTTTATATCAGCATACTACCAAAGCAGAAAGAATTTACGGGTTTGTTCATTAACAGTTCGACAGTTTTCCTTTTACAGATCTTATTTGCAGAACAGTGCAGTCAGAACTTCAGACAGAGAGAAGTTCTTTTAGTTCTCAAATAATTATCTCATGACATTCAAATCTGCCAAAAGTTATAGCCTGATCAATAAATCACTGCAAACCCCAGGAAGCATTACTCCAGGGTTTATCTTCCCTATGGCAAGGCCCAAACTGCCTCATAAAAGACGCTCTTCGGTTGTGGGCTAGTCTGCACGACCACTCAACACAACATTTTCACTGCAGATTTCCTTTTTTTATCCTAAAATAAGACTCCTCCTTAGGAGTCAGCCATCCATGCACACACTCTGTGAGCAGTAAAAAAGTCTGCTTTGAGGATAGCTAGAGTTTTCTGTTCCATTCCTTCTCTTTGGAAAAGGATTCCTTACAAGACGAAACCAGAGTTCTCCAAATCTAGGAATTCATTCCAACAAAATACCAAGACAAAATCTGGAATGAGAAGTAAATAATATAATATATCTATATCTAAATCATATAATATAAATCACATCTAAATCATATATCTATATCTAAATCATATCATATAAATCATATCTAAAATCATTTAAGAGTATCTAACAAATTACAATCCAAAAATACAGATGTGTATATGACTCACCTCATATATCAATGTACAAATTTTTTTTTTCTCAAGAACTTGCAAAAAAAAATCTAAAAAGGAATTTATAATTAATTGAGTTGCTTAGACAGCTGGGAGGGAACAAGCCATCACACAAGCCCTTTGACATCTTGTTTAAAAATACGTAGTTAATTTACTTACTTCCTTGCACTTCAACAGACAAACATGAATATGAATTAAGACTGAATCCTTGAACAGTATACATCAATTTATGAAAGAAACAGCCCTGCCAAAAAAAACTGAATCCCATAAAACATTGAAGACTAATCTTAAAAATAACTAAAACAAATGCAAAAATAAACTAACTGCTGCCTATAACAACACTGACTTTTAGAACTGAGAAACAAGATACAGGTATTTTTGTGAGAATGCAAGGTTTAAGTTAGTACCAGATATTTTGAACTATATAATTCTATTTGCTTTTATAGGAAGGATATCCAAAGTTAACTATCCTTTTAAGAAAGGCCTACAGAATATGGGAAAAATATATTAGCAAACTACCAAAACAAACACATTTTAAAATACTATAGCATTAATAAAACTCACCAGTACTATAGTATCTTTTAAGTTCTGTGCGTCTGATGTCTTTCAGTTGATTGTACTTTTTCTTTTTCTTTTCCTTGTCTGGAGCAGTTTCCTTTTCCCCAGGAAATTTACAGTTGTCTTCAGAGGAACTGATTTGCTCCAAAATAACTTTACTTTCATCATCTTTCTCAGAAGGTGTTTTGGAAACAGGAGATCCAGGGGAATTGGCAGAGACAGTCTCAGTGGTTTGTTTGACTTGCCTTTTCTTTTTCAAACTGTGCATAAAGAAAAGAAACCCACATCAAGATTTAGCCAACCTCTAGAGACCAGTAAACTCATTTTCTAAATTGATCTTTTAAAAAATTATTTTAATATCAGAATTCCTTACAACCTTTTCAAAATCACACACTTGGCATCAGTAACTTGGTAACTTAGATGATCCTACCTTATACTATTTTTTCCATTAGATCATAATCTCAAGGATACTTTCTCAAGATTAACAAAAAAGTTTTTGTTGTTTACTGAGGAGAAGGAACAAAGAAAAACAAACAAACCATTGAAAAACTGAGGGTTTTTAGAAGGACCATACATCCAAACGTAAAAAACAAGGTACTGAATTAATGTTTTCAAGATGAAGCCTGGTATAAAATAAAACCTCAGATCACAATGTACTATAACACAGCAGCTAACAACAATTCCACAGTCCACTGCTCCTGCTTTATAAAACCATCTGTTCTCACATAAACTTGTTGTTTTTTTCCATTTTGTCCAAGGTTATCTCCTAGAGGCCACTCATGCTACTCCACAGCTGTTCTGGTACAACCCACACTAGCTGGCATTTCAAGTGTCACCCAGGAGCTCCTTCTGCAACATTATCAACGTGGCCACAAACTGCTTCTGCCAAAACATTTTCCAGCTGCCTAGATTTCTTCTGAGAGAAATCTTAAGCTACCTATAGATCTTCCAACTTATCACTATAGCAACACGAGTATTTTCTTTTTAGAAGACTCTTTAAAGCACAAATCAAGTGAGAAAGATGCTTCAGGAATCCTAACACAGAATTTTCTGCTAAATCACCATCTATAGCACTGAATTTGCTTAGTGAGAGTGAAGACTGACTTTATGGGTTGAGGGTCACTGTCACTAAAATAGCTCCCAGTTAATCACTGACTCATACCATCCAAAATGAAAAACTAATCTATATAATGCTCCTTCTCTTCAGTACATTAACCTATTGGTTACAAGGTACCTAAGGGAGTGAGTAGTATATTTATCTTGTTGATGCCAAAAGCTTTGCTTTGTGCACAGGAAGAATTATGCACAGAAAATACAGACAACCAATGAGTCACCACAAATGGGAAAAGGTCTCATGAGCTCACAGCAGTAGCTTACGTAAGTGAAAACTTAATACAGTAAGTTATTAATATAATGCAGGAGTTTCAGAGATTCTTTCTTCCACCTTTTATGTTTATATCCTTTTCATGTATTCTTTTAGACTACAACATAAAAATACATAGAGCAACTGCAAATTTCAGAAAGACATTTCAGGCTACACACCCTCTTTTAAAAATAAAATACTAAAACCAGTTCCAAGTTCAGAATGTTTAGATTGAGAAGGGTCAGTTTCTTAGAGTACATGTGACCAACACTTTCCAGCGAGACACTTCCAAACACGATAGTATTATTGTATTGTTTGTGTTACAATTGGTCTCTATCACACATGTACGTATACATATTTCATACTTCCCAAAATAGGAAGATTCACATCCTGCAGCCAATCCAGCGAGGATGCTGTGTTCCCCACTCACTCAAACTCACAGATCTGTTAGATAACTTGCAGTAGTAGCTCATGCTCTGCCCAGCAAGAGACAGTTATTGTATATTAAATTTATGGATTCAGTCCTGACTACATATGAAAATACCATAGAGGGTGTTTTAGAAAAGATAAAAGTGACTACATCTATTTAACAAATGAAGTGTTTAAACTGACTAAGTGTTAAACTAGACTAATTAAAATTTACATATGCAAATGAAGCTCAATTTTAACTAGTAAGCCACAGCCCTTCTCAAAGGCTGCTGTAGCAATCACAAAACATTACAAACACTTTGCATGCACAATGTGTATATTTAGCTCTGGTGTAAATCTTGGCAACGCAGCCCTCTATGCTAAAATGGCATATTCCTACCATGGTTATACCCAATTACAGACTTCTAAATGAGCCACATTCCTGACTTTTGACTCCAGTGACTCAATGACCTTCCTGTGTGGGTGCATATCACAGGACACCCAAATCACCTGCTTCAGCAGATGAGAACTAGCAAGCATCCAGTGGCACCCCAGTTCTACTCACACTGCAGCAGAGACTTCTGTCTTCAGATTCACAGTCTATTTGTTTTGATCACAAACTGTTTAGTAAGCTTTATGTAGTATGAATGTAGTATCTCAAAACAAGAGGAGAGCCACTAGTGGAAACACAGAACCCTTTCTGGCAGGGGCAAAAAAAGAATAAAGAGTAAAACCTCTCTAGAGGTCAACAGTCCTTGTGACAATACCAACAGCTTCTGTCAGGACTTTCCTTAAAACATTCTCATTTTAAGTGGAGTTTTCAAAGATGTCCCTGGCAACTTTTAGAATGAAGAGCTAAAACAGAACTGGCCCATTAGTGACAGAAAAAAGAAAAGCAGAAAGGAGAGTCTGAACTGACTCACTGCAATGCAACTGACTGGTTCCTGTCCTCAGTGTTTAATCCTGCAGCACACTCCCACTCCTACAGCACACTGGGGGCTCCCTACACAATGTACAGCATCCCCAGCACACAGCTGCTGTTGTGAATGGGCAGTGTCACTGGTACTTCAGATACAAGTGATCAAGGATCTGGGGACTCCATAATTTCTATTCCATCACCATGGCAGCTACCAGATTTTCAGATGGTGCCAGGCCTATTCCTGCCCACTGCTCTCTTTCAAGGCCATGACCATCCAACTCCAAAAGTGCTCATCTTGGCACTAGGAAAAAAGATTAAATTAAGACCAATTATCCATGACATTCCAGGCAGGACTCAGAGTAACTGCAACTCTGTCTAGGGTTATGATCTCTGCTTGCAAGATGATTCTTCTTGAGGTTTCTAAAGCCTGGTAAAAATTACCGAATTACCCTCCAATTCACCACTCCTGAAAAGCCTTGCTGTAATATATCAAGGAAAACAAGATACAGCATTTAAAGCCATAATGGCAGCCTCAAACCTACTATGCTTTTTGACAGTATGCACCCTCTTAGTAAAGCAAAGCCCTGTATACACACAAGGCAATTCATCATTAATGTACACTGGTAGAGTGCAGCAGAGACTGGGCTGTGAAGAGCATGGATAAAGGGTTTACTGCATCTTAAACTGCATTCCCTTGAGGCACCTCCTTCAGCCTCCATCCACCCTTCTCTCACACAGACCTGTACATCCCACACAAGCTGCCAGTCCTTCCACAGCTCAGATTTCAAACCCATCACCCCCTAAAGAAGGTAGAGGCTGAAAGTCTAATCTACTCTTCTGTCAGGTATCAGGTATTTGCTAACCTTCATGACAAGAGTTGATATGAATGATGGTTTTAAATACCTAATTTGTTGAATTATTTCTTTTTTTCAACTACTTTGGAAGATTTTGAGTGGGTTTGTTCAGTTTCTAAGGGGATGTCTGCAAACAAGTCTAACATTCAGTTTTGTCCTAATAGTTATAAAAGTAAAAGGGAGCTGAACAACAACAAAAAATTGAAACCCCCCAGTTTGATCTTGTTCTACAATTAAATCTGCCTTTCAGGCAAAACAAGATGTAGACAGCGAATTCACAAAGTGTTGATGCAGAAAATGCTTGGTTTTCAGTATCAGTTGATGGATATGTTGTGTTCCACAAAGAAAGCTGCTGGGGGAAAAAAGAAAAAGAAAGAAACAGGGAGGTCAGGATAAACAAGCATCTTATCTGCAAAAACACTCCTGTTTATGAAGAAAGTCTTACACATCTGCACTTTCATTTAGACACAAGATAACATTTTTCAAGCTAGTTGATTCTGACAGGCAAAACATTTCTTCTGAGTTTATACAGAGGGGGATCCGTTTCCAGCTCCTCAAGTGCTTTCTGAACAACAACCAGTAAGGCATTTTTGAAGTTTGTCCAAATACAAAGTTTGCCAGTAAAAGCAAAACTTACTACAATACAAAGATCATTTAATTTAATAAAGACTAATGATCTGAAATGGGCACAATCTCAGAGTAGGCAGGTAAAAATGCCAGGTTAGCAGCGCTTACTTAAATTAATTTGCAGCTGTTTAATATCTTGGGCACTGACTTACAGGAAAACAGCTAGGAAGCATTCCAAGAAATAGCCTACTTCATCTTCCAGACCCAACTCTATTTGACTGCTTATGAAAGTCAAATAACTAATTTTTAGAATAAAACAGCCTGAATTTCCCATTACACTTAGAAGGCAGGTGGTTAGGATAAAAAGAACTGCTCCGAGAAAAGAGGGGTGATTTTATCTGCCAACTTCCACTAGAAACTACAAGCAACCAGTAGAGCAACTCTGACACTGTGACAATAAAGACATGGAAATCCAACAGTAACTTCTTTCCTAGAAATTTCATTTTGCTTTGCTTAACATTCAATAGGACAATTCAATAGGACCTCATTCAAGACATAATGGCACAGTCGAAGAGCCCTAGGTCCTTATCATAGGATGATCTAAAAAACTCCTGTGATAGTAAGGCATGTTTTTTATGATGTATTAGATTAATAAAGATCATACACCATGAACAACTCTTGCTTTAGAAACAAAAGCATCTAATAAAGTGGCCCTCCAAAAATACAAACAAAAGAAGGGGGAAGGGAGAAGAAATCTTTTTATCTTTTGGCTGACAAGCCAAAGTTTTCCTTTTTGGATATTTTCCACAATGTGCATCCTCTAAAATGTGCCTTGATATCTGGCATACAATCATGTTAACATCCTGCAGAGCACAAACAGATCATATTTCTCAAATATAATTTTTAAAAATCTATTTATGTATACAAACAATAAGATTACAAAAAAACCCTTTAAAACACTTCAAACATCTTTATCTGTTTTGTTCCCATTAGGATTCCTTTAGATAAAAATGATTTGTACCCCAATTATTTACTTCAGAATTAATAATTTTAATCTTAATTTAAATATCTGCATTGATTATAATATATACTAGTTTCTTTCTACCCTCCATGCCTTTCTCCACCCATCTGGAAGAGCTAAATAAATCA